TAAAACTTTGGCAAAGAAATCCAAAGAACACAGTCCTTCAATGAACTAGGGTGCTCCCCGGAAGCGATGGGTAGCGCCCTCATCTGAGTGCATATTGCATAGGCTACTGCATCATTTTGGATGCATGCAGTCAAAGAAGAGAGTCCAGAAAATAAGATTGGTGTGATAGAATATAGGGACATTAACTGGAAAAAGTGAAGAGCTGGCTCAGTCATTGATGAAAGGAAAGTGCAGACTGCCTGCATTCAGGAGACCACCTGGAAACGAGCAAAGGCCAGATACACTAAGGAAGGCTACAAGCTACTATACTATGGCATGTCAAATAAGAGAAACAGAGCTGGTATAGGTTTAGACAGTGATGCAGGAATGTGTGGTGGCTGTGGATAGGGTGTGACAGGATAATTTCAGTTAAGCTCGCTCTTGAAAATGGGCCCCTAAACATTATATGTGCATATGCATCCCAAGTGGGATATGACGAACAAGAAAAAAAACTCTGAGTTCCATATTGACCAACGTATTCACCTTCAGATTTTCCACCCTAGACCTCACCTAAGCAAAGAAGAGGCATTGTTACACACACCATGTCAGGAGAATCCTGGCTTTCTATCTTGACAGGAAAAAACCTTTCAGAAAGACTCCCAAATTATTTTGTCTCTGTGGCAGATAGATCAGAAGGGTCCACAGTATCTAAACAAAGACTTTCCAAGCAGATATCTGGCTGCATTAGTTGTTGTTACCACTCCTGTAATCTCCAAACACCTTCAGACATACAAACTCACTCTCTGAGGTCTGTTTCCACCTCTACAGCCTTCCTCAAAAATGTTCCCATCATTGAAATATGTAGAGCCACGGCTTGGACCGCTCTACATATGTTTGCTGAGCACTATGCAATAATCATGACTCTGCTTCCAACTCAGCTGCACTTTATATTTTTCCACAGGCAATTTTAATACAAAGATAGCATCCACTCTTGACTTGCCTAGCACAAATCCAAACTGACTGTCCCTGACCTTTACTTCTCTTCACAGTCTCTTATCAATAACTTTCTCCCAGATCTTCATGTGGCTTATGATTTTAAGGCCATGGTAGTTACCACAACCATGGATGTTTCTTCTCTTAAATATTGATACTAATGTATTCTCCAGACATCTTCTCAGTCCTCATGATGAAATTAAACTTATGTGGATATGTTCCTGCCTACTTGCCCCAGGCATTTCCATACTTCTGCTGGTATGTCATCCGAGCCAAAATCTTTCTTATTTTTCATGTTGCCCAATGCTGCTTCAATTTCTTCTAGAACTAGTGCCACCAGCCCAGCCCCTCTGGTTATTTTCTCGAGGGTCTTTGCCAGTCTATATTTTTCTCTCTCACCTTCCTTCGTTTCAAGATGGACAGATAAGCCTTCCATGGCTTTAGGCTTAACAGCTGCCACCTCATTCTTTGCTATGTTTTTGGCTTTTTTATACTCCCGAACATGTTGCTGTTTAGGTGTCATTTGCCAGAATTTTAAAATGCTTTTTCTTTTCCTTCATGGTCTCACAAACTTTCTCATTCCACCTCCAGATCTCATGGGGGAAACAGACTCTTGCTTTTGTTTCACCAAGCAGGCTCTTTAAACATTCTTATATTTTGCTTGCAATATGATCCCACCATTAATTCCTATTTTCTTTAAACCCTTCTAAAGAGATCTTCTCCACTACTTTCATTTTAAACTCTTACAGTAGAACCTTATGAACTAACCGGTCAACCACACACCTCATTTGGAACTGGAAGTACACAATCAGGCAGCAGCAGAATCACACACCACCCATTCCTGCGCTCACTGGGCTGCGCCCTTCCCTGACAAAAGGGTCTGGCTCAGCTCGTCTCAGGGCTTTCTTCCCAGGCAGCAGCCAGGAGGGAAGCGATGGACTCTGCAGAGCACCAGCCACAGGCAGGTTTGCAGCCTGTGAAGGCATGTACCAGCACTTACTTCCTTAACGGCAGCCCCACAAAGCTCCCTGGTGCTCACTGGCAACTTTTGAATACCGTATATACTCGTTCATTAGCCCATTTGTTTATAAGCCGACCCCCCAAGATGGTTAGGTAAAAATAGCAAAAACTATATGACCCTTTCATAAGCCAACCCTATATTTCAGGGGTTGGCAGACTTTGGCTCCCGGCCCGTCAGGGTAAGCCGCTAGCAGGCCTAGACGTTTTGTTTACCTGGAGCGTTCACAGGCATGGAGCCCCTCAGTTCCCAGTGTCCGCGGTTTGCCGTTCCCAGCCAATGGGAGCTGCGGGAAGTGGCGCCACTTCCCGCAGCTCCCATTGGCTGGGAATGGCAAACCGTGGACACAGGGAGCTGAGGGGCTCCGTTCCTGTGAACGCTCCAGGTAAACAAAACGACAATGTATTAGATATTCAATTCAATGATTCCATAGAGTTTAAAATCATCAAATTTTGGTGTAGACCCGTTTATAAGCCGACCCCCGCTCTTTGAGGTGTCACTTTTTTACCAAAAATATTCAGCTTATGAATGAGTATATGCGGTAAGTTTTTGCTAAGGAGAATGCACTGTATTCCCATTTTTAAGACTATCCAAGCTCCTGAAGTTCTGACCTAGACACTTCTCTTGCCAGAGGAGCCAGCTGGGTTAACGCTTTGCTAAGCAAAGAAGGGGACAGCTTCTGTAAGATAAGCAGTACTTATTAAAGGCATAAGGCCAAGAGTTTGAAATCCATGTAACAGACTATCATCATTCCCCTGGGTAACAAACGATGTAAACAACTGACACCTTAATATCCATTGGAGGATTAGAGTATCTCCTTTGGTTAGTAGAACTTTAGACATGGCCTACATAGCTGGTAACAGAGATAAGTTATTCTCTACTTCCTTTCCTAAAAAACACGATTGCAGGGTGCTGCTGTAGGTGTCTGCCTTTCAGGAGTGGTCAACAGTAGCAGGAGAAGTGACATTACATAGAGAGAGGAAAGAGGGCCTTATTGTTAAGGCCGTGGACAGGGACCCAGGAGATCTGAGTTCTATTCCTAGCTATCAGACTCCCTGTGTGACCTTGTCCAATCTTCACATGGGGCTAGTAACTCTTCCTTTGTCCGTCTGGTCTATATGGATTGTAGGATCTTCAGGGCAAGGACTGCCCATTACTATGTGTATGTACAGCACCTAGGCCAATGGGGCCCTGATCTCCGCTCAATAAACAACAGAATACATGATGGCTTGGTGAGATAGACTGTGGTCATCTGACGCATTGCTTATTACATTAATACCATACCATAATGTGATCCATACTTTACACATCAAATTTTGATGCGTTTGAACAGTCTTTAAAAAATTAATCTGTATTATACTTGCTCTCAGAGGCTAGACAGGCAGATTTTACACCATGTAAGTAAATTGTGCAAGATTATGCGCTCATGACTTTAGTTTCCTTGCCAAGCTAAAGCATAAAGGCTTAATATCTATATCTGAGGAACTCTGTGTATTTCAAAATCTTGTCCCCTCCATCAACAGAAGTTGGTCCAATAAAAGATATTACTTCACCTACCCTGTTTCTCAGTATAGAGAAGGATCACCCTAGTCCATTAGCTCCACTGCATGAATAGCCATTTCTCTGGGACAGAGCCCAGACACACCACCTCCACAAGTCTGATCTGATATGGCAATTCTGTTTCTAGTCCTGCTATATTTAATCTCTCCTTCCCATCTACACTTCTCTATATTCCAATCCCTTGCCCAAAAAACAGCACAGGAGATGGGGTAAGTGTTAACTTTGAAACTACTGTGTTTCATACACAGCTCAGAGAGAACCAAGATGTTGCCAGGAAGTTCAAATCACTTCCATTGGAACCGAGAACTCTAGGGAGATTTGTGCAGCTATCAATTCTGCCCCGTCCCTGCCCCTTCTGAACAGACCAGGAGGCCTGGAGAGAACAAAGTAAAGAGTCAGAGCTCACAACTACAGAGCACAGCTCCTAGACCCATTCCCCTGGTAGCCAATCAGGATATGTCCTACTCTTTGAGCTGGAGGTGTGACTCTTAGTTGAAGGACACACAGCATGCTAGCTTGATCAGAGCTTGTATGGGTAAAAGTAATGGCAAGGTGAGCCGCTTGCCACCCCAACTACATGCCCATGGTTTTCAATGGGTCTGTCCTTGGAGTGGCTAGCCTCTTCCACTGCTTCTCTACTGTTCGCATGTTACCTTGATCAGAGCTAGCACAGGTATGTCTCCTTGAGCTGGGAGTCGCACCTCCAGCTCGATACACAGACGTACTCTGGGTCTGCACAGCATGCTTGAGTGGCTACGAGTCAAGCTCAGCACACAACAATCCAGCGGTTGCTCTATAAAGCCAAAAGGAAACTATTTTTTTGATTTTAGGCTTTAATCTTGGTGCCGGACACAATCACCCTGCAGGAATACCCGTGATCCACGTTTCACGTGGATCCTCCCTTCCACCGCCAATCCCCCATCTGCCCAAGCAATTGTTGAGAATTTTGGAGTTTCAAGAAAGGTCTTTCTTTGGGGAGATGTGTCTCAGGAAACCCTTGAGTATACAACCTCACAAATTTGCACCAAACTGCACCCTGGGCCATGATCTGGAATACTAGTGTTCAAGCCAATCACAACATACATGTGGATGTGTCAGATGGACTGAAAATTTGACTTTAAACAGAAACTCTGGGCTTGCCTACACTGTTCCATCATGCGGACCACGTGGTGTAAATTCCAAAGCACACCGAAATGTTGCACTCTAACTGCCACATGTGAATACTATTGGCGTGAGCTAAAAGATACTTAGGTTTTGTTAACTCAGCCCTGTCAAACCAGAGTGAAAGGCAAGCACAATGAAATAATTTGCAGTACATGCCTGTGATATTGTACCTCTCAGTAGAACAATCAAGTAAATACATTATTTCATCCTTTGTTCGGGAAGTGCAGCAGAGCACATAAAAGGCACTACCTCCATATAAGTAATGAACAGTAATTTAAATACACTATTTAAAACCTAGTTGAACCAATCTTCTGTTTAATAGTGTATAAAATGTAACTACCAGTCATTGTCAAGTAACTACAATACTATAAGAAAGAGCATTCATGGACAAAATATCACAGGTAAAATATTTTATGTCACTTAACAGTCAAGTATAGTTTCATATTCTCATTATATAGATTGAATTGAAGAAATCTAACTGATGTGACTAGATTTCTAGGCATGTTCTGGTGGCTACTGCATCTACCACTGAAGTATGGTATGACATGTGAACGTGCATAATTTTTTTTAAACCATGCCTACAGAGTAGGATCTAAATTGGACGTAAACACATGCAAGACATCCTCTCTTTAATATGGTTATTATTTCACTAAAACCATTTACCTATTTCCAGTGTAATATTTTGAACTCAACACCTATTAAAGTTGACAGATGCCTTTAAGACAGCTCAAAATTAAGAGAAGCAGCTCTGTGATTGTAATGAGTGCAATAGGTTTTGTTTAACAAAAGCGTTTGGTTGTATTTACTTGTCTCTTTACTCCCTACAGACATTAATTTTATGCATGCCATTTTAAAGACATGAAGTAGTTAAACCAAGAAAGAGGACAAATACAGCAAACCATACACATTTTCCTATAGCAATACAGTAGCCTAGGATTTCCCTGCTGCACATAATGGATGCATTTCCATCTCTCTTCCTTGGTCAAACATTGCCGCAAGTGTCCTTTTTACAATTCTAGAATCTTTCAGGATAACAATGGTATTTCATTCTGTATGGACAGTTAAACATGCTCAAGGTTAAGTCTGCAAATAAACGGAGACCGGAAGGAGCCCAGGTAAAGATATCCATTGTGTTCATGTGCCTCGCTAACATAAGTTACCACCATTCCATTGGGATCATGAAGGCTTCTTTTGTAAGATCCAGTTTCGCTAAGTTCTACGACAAGGCTATACTTGGGTACAAACTTCATCACCGTTTCTTGACTTAGCAACTAAAGAAAGAAAAACAGCAAGAGTAAGTTGTCGTATACGGTTATTTAACCATGAATTACATAAACTGATCGTATATTTCAAAGCAATCAAGGATCATGCCAAACCTTGGCAGTAATCAGTGAACAAAATAAGTCTTCAGATTTCAGGTGAAAGTTAACTGCATAGATTTAACATCTTAAGAACACTGAAAAGTCAACTTTAAAAGCATGTTTGATAGAAAATTCACTCCAATGTGGAGCTCTGGGATTTACTCAGCATGACACTGATGCACAAGGCACTAGTGTTCTCACACAGTTTCATGATGTGGTTGATGCCAGTGGCCAAAAATCAAACAGATTTTGTATAGCGCTCAACAGTGCTGCTTATTTGTGGTCCCCAAGCATGGCTTCCTCTGTTGATATTCTTTTACCACACCCAGAAATTAAAAAAAAAGTTGTAACGCATCATGGCAACAGAGAGTTTAACTGAGCTGGTATTTCGATCTTAAATGCCTATTGTTAGTCAAGATTGATGTTTTTCTGAGAGATAAATTTGGGGCTAAAAAAAATTTTTTTTTTTAAAAACATCTGTTAAAATGTCTGAGGATCAAGAATTCTTAAAGTCATGTTGACAAAATATTTTGTACTTTCTTTTAATTTGATTTTAATAAAAGGCAATCAAATGCCAACACCTTATGCTGACGCACCAGTGAGGCTGAGAGTTTGATAATACCAAAGAAAATATATGTACAGTTAAAAGAGACAGTGGATTTGAAAGACTGACTTTTCATTTGAAAATTGTGTACTTACTATTGGTAAGAGCAAGCCTTAGTTTTGCTAACTATAAAAAATGTGGATGATGCCTCCAACTAGCATCATGTGGCTTACCTGTAGCTTTAATCAGAGCACCATGATATCTTCCAGTGAAAAAGAGCGAAAACAAAGTATTTTCTTTACCTTAATTAAAGTAGTAAACTGTTTTTCCCTTTATCTTAAATACATTTACCTTAAATATTATTCTTTTAATCCATGGTTTTTCAGATATAAAATCCACCATAGAAAATCCAGGATTGGGTCGAACAGCTGACATGGCTACCCAGTATCCCCCAGAGCTGCTTAACCGGATATTATCTGGAAAGCCGGGCATATTTTCTACAAACATATCTGCTCCACCTTTCATTAATCCAGAGACATAGTATCTGTAAAATCACAACAGGATAATCAGGACAGCCTCTTAACCTAAACAAAGTTCATACAATAAACAAATTCAATGCATTTTCTACTAAAAACAGCTTTTCTTACTGCTAGCAGAGTGAAGTACAATATGACCACATTCTTCTGTCTGATATGCGCCTAGCAATGACTACAGCTTGTGCCACCATGTACAAGGATCCAGCTGATGAAAGGAAGAGACTGTAAACCAGATGTCTCCAGTGAAGGAAAAAACTGGATAGAATAGGAGTTTTTCGCCTTGCTGCTGAAAACCTCAGAGAGGAAGATTTAATCTCTCTGAAAGATATTAGCTAACCTTTATGGTGTAGACAGAGATCAAAGTAAAGCCATAAGTGGATTATGAGTCTGGTTTGGGAAGCCAAATATGCAATGATTTAGCTGAAATACCAAGATTTCAGATTGTCAGTGTAACACAGCTGCAATATCACTGACATTGTAAGAGTTAGTGGGACATATTCTGATGGCTAATATAAAACCAGAGTAACTCCATTGCCTTCTATGGAGTTATTGCTGATCTCTGGTATAGCAGCAGAATTTGCCCCACATCATTTATATAAATTGTGGGATTGAGCAATTCAACTCAGTTTACCCATAAAAAACAAGATAAAGATATGGTGCTACAGTCTGTCACATCTACCCTATGAACTATGGTAGAGGAAAAGATGTGGTGAGAGCACCAAGTAGAGTGAAGAATTAATTGACTCAAGTTTTACAGTCCCCCTTAACTTGTATGAGCCTTTCCTCCCAACTGGGGTCAACTAAGTTTTAATTTCAAAAGAAATAAAGCCTATTTGAATTTCAGCTGCTTGTGTAAGTAAAGCAGAGATGCTCTGTGGCTAACTGGAAGTCAGGTTAAATAGTCTGAAGCCTGAAAAACCTCTGAAACCTCTATCAAGCACACTTTTTGAACCCTGCATTCCCTTTTTCCACCAGTGTCACAATAGTTTTGATTTTAGCTCACACTTTATTGTGACCAGAAGGCAAGAATATTAATCTTTTCTTCTTAATGCTTAAAAAACAACACACAAAACAGAGACCAGTCCCTGCTGACTGGAGGGCAGAGAGACACAATGATATTGTTGTGTGTCCATTTTGGAGAGTGGCAGGGATGTTCTGCTGAATCACACTGTTAACAGGTATTCAGACTCTGCAGAGAGCTACTGAAATCCTACCAGTTCCTACCCTGTTCACACTAGGGAGATTTTAAAGTTCCCCACCCTTACTGTTTATCCCACCAGTGTTGACAGCCTTAATGGAGATGGACCACCAGCTGCAGGCACTGTTTTAAACACCACATTGATTAGCTTTGCTCTGAGCAGGCCAAATTAATTGATATGGTGCATAGAAAGTGTCAGCAGTTGTTGACTCATTTCCACTGACTTCCCTCCAGAACCCCAGTGGACCTGGACCAGAGAAAGCTGCACCAGGGTTAACAACTGCAGGAAATTTTTCAAAAATGTCTCTAATGTAGGCAGGGCCATTGCACGACACGGAGCTTGTTAACTCCAGCTGGATTAAAAACTAAGTGGGGGCGGCTGCCTAAAGAGAAGCAAGGATCAAGAACAGAAGGGGCTCTGGATGGAAACCCTAACGACAGCCAGACACAGGGAGAAGGGCTACGGCTAAGGTTTGTGTTGGGTTATTATGCTTTGAGTTACCAACACAGCTAAACTGGGGTGAATTTGGATACTAATGCAGTGTTTGTGCACTTTGAGGTCAGGGTAGGGATTCGGCCTATTCCCTTAAGGACTGAGAGGCACCCCTATGCTACAGCGATGGGAATCAAATACCTAGATAGGTCCATGAACAAGACTAAAATCTGCCTTGATTACACCCTGTGGAGCCCTACTTGAAATCAATAGGGTTGCATGAGTTGTAAGTCAGGGAAGTATTTGGCCCAAGATTTTCTTTTATGCTGTGTAGTCACATTGCTTAATGCTCTACTGGAAAGGGCTCAGATAGTGATGAGGCTGGTATAAAAACCTATATAGAATAGAAGAGAAATCAATTTAAAGTCATTTGATAAAGTAATGCATCCCCAAATGTCACACTCACCTCCTTATTCTAGCTAAGGTTGTTTCTGCTACCAACACAAAATCTTCAGCAGGAGAGAGCTGGACTCCATTGGGAAACCTCAGTCCTACCATTAAGACTTTCACTTCTTTTGTCACAGTGTCATATTCAAGCAGGCTAAAGACAGAACATTACATATGTACTTAAGTGAAGTGGGATAAGACAGTTTGCTCAATTGCATTTTGCTTTGCCAGGCATTTCCCTTCCTCTTATTCCTCCAGGTTTTATACGCAAAGAATATGAGAAAAAGCGGAGCACTCAGGGCACATTTAAGTTTATTTATTTATGACCTGGAGAGTGGGGCAGAAAGACACCAGCTTTTTAAGGTTGCTAGACAATTGTCCATGACAGAATTTGGGTAAAAAACGTTAATTCCTTTAATTTTAAAAAGCACATTCCACTAGAGAAGATTTACACAAATAGGCTTTTTGAAAGAGAAGGAAATCTCTTACATCTGTTTCATTTCTACACATGCCAGCTTCTTCCACACATTCTCCCCTTGCCCTTTTCAGAGTAGCATTATTTGCATGGTCAATAAAGACTCAAAAGTTTAGTTTTAAACACAACTAAGTTATCCTGACTATTCCTATTGGTTTGATCTGCTGTAGGATAGATGGATTGCTGTACGTAGATACTTGCCGTCCATCATCTGTGCCTTCCATAACCAAGAATGAATAATCCCTTCTTTGCCATTTACTGCTGGAGTCTGTGAAGAAGATTTTCCTCCCATCCCGAGTCAATGTGAGGTCATTCAAAAAGGACATTTTGTGACCCTCAACTGGTTCACTAGTTGATAATAGCATTTTCACGTCACCTGATTACAAAAATAAATAAATAAATAAATCTGCCCATCTTTTATCCTGCCATTCCAATAATCTGAATCTTAACACAGTCAGGTAGGTGTTAAATTGGCCCAGTATCTTTTCTATCCTCAGAAGAGCAGCTGTCAATGTTATACACCATTTTGTATGTGTAAAATTTTAAGGTATCAATCCACATCCATGGCATGCATAGAAATGGTAATGATGAAAAGTGTTAATGATTGTGTTTGCCTTTTTAAAAATTAGCTTATGCATGAGATTTTGTTTAGCTCTAAATGTACTTAAAACAAAGCCATTTTTACATTAAAGGGATCAGATACCACTGACCAAGTTTCACAAAGGAGTAGGTTTTCAAATCCACTGAACCCCTAATCTACTCAATATATTTACTTGTAAATTTCCAAAATGAATAGGATAAATTTGGCTGTGATCAACATTTCTGGTGGAGTGTAACAAAGGGAATATAAATCTTACCTTGACTAAAAAGCCAAAAACACAACCTTAACTTTGAAGTCACTGCTGACATACCTAAAATATGCTCTTATTTTGCAAGAGAGCTATATATTTCATATATGTAAATCAAATTACAAAAAGTCCCAACTGACGGCAGATTGAAATCTGTTTCTTTCCAGAAATTCCCTCCTCCCTCTCCACTAAAAACGTAGAGATGTGTTACTGTAGCTCACGTGTTGGGTTTTGGAAGCTTTTCCCGTATAACTTTCACAGCTCTTACTTTAAAAAAGGTTTCAGGTTTTGGATATGATACATAAGGGAGTTTATTTTAGTACTTGTGCCATTTAGAGACGGGACAGTTTATTCTGAGTGGAATAACTGTACTTAGGCTGAGGCACCCTGTGCAGAATGTCAACACAGAACAAAAACTTAGTAACAGTTTTGTATCCCCAGGGGGAGGAGGAGGGTTGTTGTTTTTTTGTTTTTTTTGGGGGGGGGGGATATTGACTGAAATACAGGGTAAAACTAGTATCACTACAAAACCTTTACACAGAAGAAGCTTCATATTGTACAGAGCCACACACTGTAAAAGCTTTTAAAATGTATTTTCATTTAAAGTATAAACTCAGGCCTTGATCCTGCAATTGGATCCATGCAAGCAGACCACTGCGCCATCCTGCAGTTGGCTCTATAGGGGAGAAGAACTGTCTAATACTTAGGGCACTAGCCTGGAACTTGGAAGACCTAGGTTCAAGACCCTGTTCTGCCACAGACTCCCAGTGTAACCTTGGGCAAGTTACTTTGCCTCTCTGCCTCAGGTCCCCATCTGTAAAATGTGAATAATAACATTTCCCTATCTCATGTTGGGGGTAAGAGGGATGCAAGGATAAATACATTAAGGATTGTGAAATGCTCAGATACTATGGTAATAGGGGGGTATAGAAGTACTTCAGCTAAATATGCTTTTGTTTGGATAAATAAAGCACTTAGCTCTATGGATAAAAAGCACTGGGTAGAAGTTAAGTGCTTTCCAAAAGTTAAGCATTGGTAGCCCTCTTTATGGCGACAGAAACACAGAGGCAGGCAATGGCAAAGTGACTGGGCCAAAGCCACAAAAGTCAAGTAGAGCCAGGTACAGAATCCAAGCTGCCTAATTCACAACTCAGTGCCCAAAGCTGGGGGGGCGGGGGCGCGCGGCGCAGGGGGAACCATACCTGTGACAGGATCAATTTCATATAGTCCGCAATATGCATCTGCCACAAACAGGGTATTATTTGGCCCAGCTCTGATGCCAAGGGGTCTCCCGCAGGTGGGCTCATCTTCCCTGGTTCCTTTTGAGACAATTTTACAGCTGTTTTATAGGCAGAGCAGTTTGTATATAAAGGTATTGAAGCCACTCCAGAAAAGAAAGCTCAAATATAACAAGACTATATTGCCAGCTCCCCACCACCACCACCACCCTTATAAATATATCATGCTCTCATTTTTCCAACGGGAAATGAATTTTAATGATCAATGAATCAGAGCTGCTCGAAGGTTAGCTAGCGTTAACACTGCCCTCTATTGACTTGCCTAGCAAAAAGCATACTTACCCTAGTTAGGAGTGATGAATATTTTCTGAATTTTTTGTTTTGACAGAAGTTTGGAATTTTGATTAAACAAATATTGACACAGAAAGTGGCTGTTCTCAAAAACGTTTGACTTTTTTTAGTCAGAAAACCCCAAACCAAAAGTACTCTGGTTTTCCGATAAAAAAGTCAAAAATTTCTGCTGAAAATAATAAAAAACAAGAGAGACTTTCCCCCAACCAGCCCTAACCTCAATACTTCTGACAGCTAACAGAAATCCTCCTTTAGAACAGGCAGTAAAGAGCTGTGTTTTCAAGCCAGATATTTAGCACTACTGCCTTTGCTGTATCTACATGGCTTAGCCATTGACTATAGTGATTTCATATGCATATACAGTTGAAATCATTGCAGTAACCATTATAAATTCTACTAACTCAACTACTATATTAGCTGACAAATAACAAAGACAAGCATGGCACTAGTATTGTGTTAGTAATAACTGGTATTTACTTAGTCACCTTCAAACAACACTGAAAAGGTTGTGGACAACAAAGAAGGAGTGTGCCAGAGGATACTTGGCACATGCCTCAAGTTTCCCTTATAATAAAAGATGGAGGAAAACTATTGCAAGCAAGTAACACTATCTATTTTATTAAACTTGTTTTTCAAAAATGTCCACAAGGTGGTTGCTGCTGTTTAATGTTTATCCTGGGACCTCTTCTACTTATTTACTCTAACAGCAATGCTACCATGGAAATATATCTCAATCACTGTTTGAGTCATCTCTCCATCTACCGTAAAAGTAACAACATTTGTTTGCTAAAACTCCATAGATAATGTCAACTAGATAGTAGCACAACAGTAATAGTCAAGGATCTATGCAGAGATTCCATTAAGATTAACAGTGGGTATTGAGCTTTGGGAGAGTTTAAATGCACTTTGAAACATCCCCCAAACTTCCTGGCACAGGCTGGAAAACAGCTGCCTGACTATTCTTTGGGGTATGTTTTTAGTCCTTAGTTTTACTATGAAAGGAAATTACATATTGGGCCAGATCCTTATGTGGTATAAACTGACAACTCTATTGATGTATATCGACATACACCTCTACCCCGATATAACGCGACCCGATATAACACGAATTCGGATATAATGTGGTAAAGCAGTGCTCCGGGGGGGCGGGGCTGCGCACTCCAGTGGATCAAAGCAAGTTCGATATAACGCGGTTTCACCTATAACGCGGTAAGATTTTTTGGCTCCCGAGGACAGCGTTATATCGGGGTAGAGGTGTAGCTTCACTGACAGCAATGGAGCTGTGCCATTTACATCAGCTGAGGATCTGGCCTGATGCATGATAAAGTGATGTAGAAAGGCTAAACCAAACAAAAGCAAGGGTATTCGGCAAAAGGGCTGTAATGCCATCCTTCACCACATTGCGCCCAGGTATTGCAGAGAATTCCCACTTGTCTTTTGTATGGGTATGTCTACACTGTGGTCAGGATAGCACACATCAATCAAATCCATCTTTGATGGAGCTAGCTCACTACAAGTAAGAGAGATAACCGCGGCAGAATAGGCTAGCTGCCCAAATACAATCCCGCCTGGGATTCCAGCCTGTACCACTGCTCTGTTTTAGCAAGCTAGCTCAATCAAAGCTAGTTTGAATATACATATGTAGGCTGCAATTGCACCTCCTGACTGCAGTGTAGACAGACCCTAAAACAGGTCCCCAGCCCCCACCCCCAAATACAGCATTGAGAGATAAAGTTTGTTTTAAACCTAACTCTGAACTCCCTTAAGATTGGGGGTTTAACTCAGACTCTCAGAGCCCTGCTTACAAATTAAGCACTTTAAAGTAGGCACTACAGTACATTTAGGTAACATGCAACTAGCCCAATTACCAAAAAAAAAAAAGGGGGGAGGGGTTTTTAAATTCACAAATGCATGCCTCACCCAATATGTAATTGTGCAATTGTATGCCTTACTGAACATGCAATTGTATGCCTCTAATCTGGGTCTATTTTATATGATGGGTATCAGATTTTTAATAAATACAGGGAAAAGGTAACAAGGAAAAAATAATTACAGTAATTACATGCTGATCACCGTCATCTTGCTTAATATATAGCAATTCTAATTTATGCAACTCTTTCTGCATTTCTCCTTCAAACAATGTGTCCTATCCACCCAAAAGAAGGGAAAACGATGAAAGCTTGTTTAACTGATGGAGACAAGATATCTTAGCTACACCTAAATATTTTTTGTCTCCAAATCTCAAACTCTTCAGAGATTACAAAAAAAAAAAATCACATCTATAAAACTCTGAAATAGTTAACATTCACAGTATAAAGTTCCTTTAATCCTGAAGACTATCTAAATTCTTCACAAACTGCATGCAGCATTACTGAGATGCAAACACATTTGGGAAGGATGACAGCAAGCAGGTGGATAACCGGCAAAGCATAGCCTTCATAACAGAGTAGAGAAGAAACTCTGGCCAAGGGAGCCAGGGCAAGCTGTTATTTGTTTTTACACAAACAATCTTTATAAAAGAATTAACACAATCTCTAATGGTAAAAAAGGCCAACCAGGACCTGCATCTTTCATATAGCTTCTGAAATAGCCGCAAATTAAGCTGTATGGAACTCCCACTTCTCTGCTTGAATGATAGAAGAACTGAACCTTTTGCCTATAGTTCCAAGATATTTTCTCTCTTCTCAAGTTTCTATAGATTGAGAGCTAGCTCATGCCATTTTGGTATATCCCAGAGTAAGGGGAGGAGCTCCAATGCCCCAAGGGAGCACAGTGAGGCATCTCCCCCCCTGAAAATCACTGGTATACAGGTGAGCATGCTCACTACACCACCTTCAAGGGGCACAGCCCACTCTCCCAAATGGGGCAGAGGGTTTAAGAGCATGGTCCAACCTCCTCGCTGCCTCTTTTGCTGTCATACCCCCCAGGGAGATGGAACAGTGCAATCCTTCAGTTTCCCCAACCACAAAGAATGCAGCACTGCCTGGGCTACACACAGGCTGCATGAAGTTGAGCAGATGAGCAGGGCAAAGGGATAACCCATGCTCCTGGTATTCCCCCAGCCCACAACCCTACTCAAGAGCCACATGCCATCTTGTCTTGTATTAAAGAAGGGCAGATCTAATTTGTCATCATGGTCAAAGCTCTCTCACCAGGTGTTCTAGAAGCATTCGAATGCTCTTAAATAAGTCTTACTGTAACTATGCAAGCAGCTACATGTGGACATGAAATCTGACAGCCAAACCAAAAATCCATGTGAAAACAGGAAAGCATAGCCCCAAGCTTGCCTAGGCCAGCTGTGCTCTCTCTGGCTATGTCTATACAGGCAAAAATCAGAAGTGAAATATACTATTGATGCAGGGCTACAATAATACTATACTAATGCTTACACTATGCTGCAGCTGCATTACTGTTGTAAACAAGTATCGACAGGTGCAAGGGATGTTAGCCAAGATTTTCAGACCTAGAAACCTAAAGTTAGGCTTTTGAACTGAAGAGGCCTCACTAACAAAGGTTATAAATATATACAGCTTCCACTAACTTTGTGAAAGATCATGAGAGAGGCATATTGTCATGTACATATTGTTAATATTCTCATGAACATTAGTTTAACATGTTGGGGTACATGACATTCAATGAGAAATCATCAGCTTTGCATAGGTACAACGTAGCCTATGAAATCAAGGAAATATTGAGCATACATGTCAACTAAGCATGGACATGTTACTGTCGTCTAAAATCCAGCTACTGCACACGTGCACTATGCTGTGAAATATGTGAAGATGTGCACCTGCAAAAGAGAGCAAGATTGAATGCTAACTTATTAATCATTACAAAGTTATCCCATGGATTTTCAACTGAATGATAAAAGTGTGTAATGGTCAAGAACCATTATTTACTTACTGCATGGACCATGGCCAAGTATGGCTAACGTTTTTATTTCCCCATCTTCAATTTTTAGAATCTTTCCATCAGCTGTACCAGTAAACAGCACATCTGCATAAACAAATAGTATGATTAGCTTGGCTACAAAACTGCCGTAATATACAAAATCTTTTTATAAAGATGTAGCACAAATGTCAGCATTGAGCCCACATTCCTCCCACACAAAACTAATGCACTTCGAACACATTTAGTTAAAGATAAATTTTTCCCTATTTATTCTTGCACTTCAACTGAAGTGAGTGGAGAGTGTGTCCAGGCAATTAAATCATTCAACTAGTTAAGTTGGATTCATTCAGATAAAAAGGAGGAGTTGAGTCTCAGACCAGGTCGCTGGTTTGAATCTGACCATGGACATTAGTGATGGTTCTGTGGCCTCATCTCAGTGAGCAGATTTCCACATCACCAAAAAAAGAATCAGACACCACCATATAAGTCACCCTTGTTATTAGTTTCAACAGGGATGCCACCAACTGAATTATCCTCTCATGCTAGAAATGGTTCCTTCAGGTCTGAAACACTCAAACAGGGATGTTTATTATACTAATACTGCTTAGGCTGTACCTGATCTGTGAAAAGATTACTTCAGTTCAAGGGATGAATCCAGCACTAAGTCATCCAAAACCAAAAATGTTGCCAAGTCAACATTTTGATGCCAAGTCACATGACAGCAATGGGACAAATTAGTTCTTAATACGCCATGATGAGCTCAAGCCCCTCTCTGAACTTTGCCATCGTTCTTAAGAAGTACATAGATGGTGGGTTAGAAGAATTACTAAACTGTTTGGGCTTTTAAACCTCCAGTTTAGGTGCTTGAAAGTGTAATGGTTTACTCCAAAACTGTAAGAGGAAAAACTATTTTGATCTTCAAGGAAGGAACAGCTTCTATTTCCTAGAAAAGTTCTAAACTTCCAGCCAGGTCAGAGATTTCAGCCATCTGAAATCCAGTAATCTTCCTGCAACCACCACCTAGAGAATAGAATCTGAAAGACTAACTAATTGAGAAGCAGCAGACAGCATCCATACTTTGACTAAACACTTCAACACACATTTGTGGAGACAGGCAGTAGTAGCAGAAATTAGAGAATGAAGGACTGGGGAGGGATAGCTCAGTGGTTTGAGCATTGGCCTGCTAAACCCAGGGTTGTGAGTTCAATCCTTGAGGGGGCCACTTAGGGATCTGGGGCAAAATCACTACTTGGTCCTGCTAGTGAAGGCAGGGGGCTGGACTTGATGACCTTTCAGGGTCCCTTCCAGTTCTATGAGATAGGTATATCTAGGACTTTGGTAATGATTTACTGGGCACTTTCCTGATAAGGTTAAAGATAACTAGGGCTTTAATATATCTTTCTAGTTAACCAGGAAACATGGCAGCAAGAACTGAGCTAAACATACTGTTACTAATCAATTCCCGCCTTTACATGAAACTGCAGAGAGACTGTCTCGGATAGAAAACTGCAGCTCCAGCTCTTTGTTTACCGTTAGCATTGAAACACACAAAGATCTGATTCTATGGCTAGGCCTGAATCTCACCACTTTCAGGGCACACTGCAAAAATCCACCTGTCACAAAGGTACTTTCGTAAGAAATGGGCACAGTGCCTCCAACTCCACTTGAGTCTGGCCCTTCTGATAAGAAGCTGCTCAGTAGGAGACAGTGTGGAGCTAGTAGGGGCTTTCTATGTAATGGGACAAATTTATTTAAAAGCACCTCCAACGGTTGTATACAGCAATAATAAAATTCAATGTTTAGGCATCTGATTTCCCATTAAATACAATTTATTGACAGTACGTTTTATCTTATTTAAATAAAGCTTCATACTCTGAGAAACTCAATTACATAATCATACGGGTGGATATTTAAAAAGGCTCTCTAACCACTGAGACCTAGTTAAAAAATTACTACAAGTGAATAGCGGAACAATAGTTTCTACACTTAGGACCTTGACGTCATTAAAGGCCATGTTTCAGAAGGGTATGGATTTCTTGTGAGACCTAAATGACTTACTCCTGGGAAAGGGGCTACATGGAGATATGTAGCTCTGAGTTGGTGGTTGCTGACCCAAGACAATGTTAAATTGCAGACACATGGAAGCCTGCACAATTTGGTATCCAAGAGATATGTGGCTGAATCAAACTCTTAGCAAAGAAGCAATAGTGAAAAAGACACCCTAAATCCCTACAGTTTTCCAGTGCTTACCACCAATATTGGCAATGGATTCAGGTCCAATAAGTTGGTTTTCAAATATCCTCTCTGCTTGTCGCAACTTAATATTTGGCTCTAACACACCGGTCAGGAGGGGAGGTTCTTTGAAGCTGTAAAATCAAAATGCAGGTCTCATGATTTTATCATAGAATAGGTACAAAGTCAAATGCTCTTGAGCAAAAAGTTGAGCAATTTTTCCAGGTTGCCAACTAGACTGCAAACATGACAGCCGTTTTTGAAACAGTATATTTCATTTTCCTGGACATCAACAGACTTTTCTGATGCAATATATCAGCTCTAGCCTGCATCAAGTCTTAGGAAATAAGAGAGTTTTACAACACTAGCGTCTTGATGTTCATTTAAATACAAGTCAATTTCAAAGATGTGGTTCAGCAGTCTTAAATAGCTGAAATAAAATTCAATTCAATGTTGCTACTTAGCTAGTTGATAAACTACTGTCCCAGTTATTATGGCCCCAAACCTTCAACTGGATCCATGCGGATGGATGCTTGAGCCCACACAGATCTGATTGTAGGTTTGATGCCAGTAGGAGAGACAATTCATCCTAGAGAATTATATTCTATACTCCTGAAAGAGCCTTAATAATTGTGACAAACACCTCACTTCAACCCTGATTCTGTGCTTATTTACACATGTGAGTAGTCTCCCCACTGAACGTACATGCGTAGTTATGTAACAGCTGCAATTTTGGCCAACACAGGGTCTTAACCAGGATCTCCACAGCTAAAAATCTCTGAGCTAAAGAGCTATGCTTTCTGCCTGGGACCATAACAGACTCTCAGGCTAGGTCTACACTACAGCGGGGCTCCGACCTAAGATACGCAACTTCAGCTACGTGAATACCGTAGCTGAAGTTGCGTATTTTAGGTCGACTTACCTGGCTGTGAGGACGGGGGAAAGTCGACCGCTGCCGCGCTGCCGTCGACTCCGCTGCCGCCTCTTGCCGCGGTGGATTTCCGGAGTCGACGGCAGAGCGATCAGGGATCGATTTTATCGCGTCTTCACTAGACGCGATAAGTCGATCCCAGAAAACCGATTGCCTGCCGCTGGACCCTCCGGTAAGTGTAGACAAGCCCTCAGCCTCTGTAGATTGGGAACAGAGGGGGCCAAGTAACACACACTGACCAGTAGGTTACATTTACTTACATGAATAAGCTTTGAAGCATTGGAGCCTATAAGCCTGACTGATATGACTAGTAGCAACTGGGAAGGTAGAGAATTCCAATTTCTGTTAAAATAACCTAGATTCATGTAAGTACAGCATTAGTAGAGCAGTGATAATTAGTTTGGCTTTGAGGGTGGTTTTTAAGAAATCTAGTAAACAAGTTTGCAGAATATGAGCCTAAGAATATTGCTATCTGATCCATTGGGGGGGGGGGGGTCTGTGTTCATTGTGGTTCCCCACTGACTTCAGTAAAACTCCATGAAGGCATAAGGGTTCCCTGCAGCAGATCCAACTGTTGGACTACAGCCTTGGATTGTAGCACTTTGGGACAGAGACTGTGGCCTTTGTATGTATTTATATAGTGCTTACAACAATGGGACCCCCAACCCTGCGTCTGCACACTACTGCTTGATATTAAACAAAATATATAAAAACTCGGTGAAATTGAGTCCTGCCCCAGGCTGTCACCTTCAGACACGGGGTGAGGGGAGAACGGCTGCAGCTGTGAGCCCTGCGTGGCTGTCGGTGCCCCCACTTCAGTTGGTGCAAGCGCTCCTGGTGAGGACACACACCACCGACAGAAGGAGGATAGTGCGGACACCAACAGCTGATTGAATTACTGTGGTGGCTGTAGGTCGACCTAAATTTAGTCTACCTAATTTTAAGTGTAAATTAACCCTCAGTAACTTCATAAAAGTTGACTAAATTTTATCCACCAACATAAAATCAGCATTAAAAAAGGTTACCTTGCAATAAAATTCAGTTAAAACAAAACACAGCTCACCTCAGAGGTTGAGGGTCTATTGGACATTCCAGGAAAACTATTGCTCCAAGCAAGGGAATAATTAGAGAGACAGCCAAAATCATGAAGGTCACACGGAACACCTTGCTGCTGTAAGTACTGCCACCACACAAAAACAAACAAGTTAGGATTACAGCATAAACACAACTTTAAGATTTTAAGAATTCTCATTACAAAATTTTGTTTTTGAAGAGTCCACTTCTTTCTGCTTTCACCCCCACTACACACACACTTGTCTTCATGCTCAACCACCTGCTAAATCATGTAGTCAGCATAAAATCAGGTCTGTCATCTGTTTGACTACAGTAGTTATGATACATTGTATATGTATAATAGAGTATCCATGCATTAGAAATACATATGGATAGACTACTGTCTACCTTCTAAATTAACTTCGAGTCCAGTCTGGAAACTCCCATTCCAGTAGCTAATATTGCTGCCAAGAATAAGTTATCTCAAGTAACTGGAACAAAAGAGATATTGAAGTACTTTAAAGAAACACTTCCTTAATTTAAGGAGACTTATCTTGAAACTCGTAACATAGGGATGTGACGTTCTCCTCTGGTGTTACCTGGACTGGTGATCTGCTAGGTCACTCCAATCTTTGACTCTGGGACCCAGCCTTACCCTGCTCTGCTGTGAGAACCCCCACTCCTGGGCTGTTCACGCACAGCCTCTGGCATGTAAGCTGCTCCCAGCTACTTGCAACCGAATGACACTAGCCAATATCTCCAGTCCCAGATACAACCCTAGGAACTTCCGTCTTGCAGTGTCCAGTTATGACTGCTGGACACTGCAAGTTTATATGAGTTCGTCAATTTAACAAAGAAATTGATATGTACCAGGCTTGTTTTCCCAAGGGGAGTCTCTGCCAGGCTTCAAACCAAACGCACTACTTCAGGTAGAATAAACAAAGAGATTTATTAACTATGAAAGATTTTAAGTGATTATAAGTCAAAGCATAACAAGTCAGATTTGTTCAGATGAAATAAAAGCAAAACGCATTCTAAGCTGATCTTAACACTTTCAGTGCCCTTACAAACTTAGATGCTTCTCACCACAGACTGGCTGGTTGCTCTTCAGCCAG